CTCAATGTCAAACCAGAGGAAATATTAATTTAATTTTATTAAAATTAGAAAATTGTTTATCTTATATGCACATTATATCTTTTCTTTTATCCTATGTTATTTTATTGATATTTTTTTAAATTAACATCAAACGTTAACTGCAAAATATATCAATCTATGTCCTTTGAAATTAACTGCAACATGCTTATATATGTTAATTTATTCTTCCTTTTCTTCTTTCCCCACTTTTTTCCTACCACTCCTGTTTCCACATTTGCTTTCTTATATCTTTTGTTTTTCTTTTTTTCTCTCTCTTTTCCTATGATATGACGTATTAAATAGGTCAATGTCTGGTCCTTAGATCACCTCCCTTACTCATAAGTATTTTAATAAAAATAGATTTACAACTATTCCTATCTTTCACTTTATTCTCTAATTTTCGACTATATCTGTCGCCCTCCCTCTCCCCTTTCTCTATCACATTAAATCAACTTAAAACTATCACACCAAAGTGTATAAAAATAATACGTAAATTTAAAATTTAAAAAATTTGAAGAACCAGGAAAACCACCTTCCTGGGGAAATAAAATATAATCAAAGGACCCTTTAATGTTGTCTGTTTTCTAATTAAATTATATATATATATATATATATATATATATATATATATATATATATATATATATATATATATATGTGTGTGTCAGTCTGTTCGTATCTATCTATCTCAGTATATTCGTAAGTATCTATCTATCTCACTCTGTTCTTATCTGTCCATCAATCTTTCTATGTTTGTAAGTATATATCTGTCTTACTTTGTTCATATCAATCTATCTATCTATCACAGTGTTAGACAGAAAGAAAGATTGATAAATACAAATATATAGATGTTAGCAATTGAAGATAGATGTGAATACACTGAGATAGATAGATAGATAGATAGATAGATAGATAGATAGATAGATAGATAGATAGGAAGGAAGGTAGGAAGGAAGGAAGGAAGGAAGGAAGGAAGGAACAGAAAGAAACGAGTTATTCTTCTAAAACATTTCGGTATATTGTCGCTAAAAAAGTTATCGCGACGCAATTTTTTTAGGATGAATCGCTGTATAAGTTTTCTTTTATAAAGCGGCTCGTAAAATCTTTCGAGTTGGCTAAGCCAATAACTCGCGCGCCGGCCACTTTTGAGATGGTATAAGTTTCGCATTTTTAATTCCTGTGACAACATTCTCAGACAGAGAATTTCCCCCCTCCCCACTTTCCAATTTTCTGTTTCCTTTGAATAAGTGATTTAGTTAATTTTTCCTTTTTATTCTGTATTTGTTTGAATATATATAAGCATACATGTAACATTAGAAAATAAAGGTAAAATGTAACTGTTGTATCGTGTTGTTATACGACACGTAATCTGTGGCCAAATTTCTCTTGTTTCACTCTTTACTCAATACGTTATTTCAACTGTAATCAACATATGAAAATAGGTAAAATCATATCTGGTAATCCCATTAGATTAACAACGGAATAAAGTGATAGAAATGAAGAGACGCGGTTAACAAAGAATAAAAAAATAAGTGGAATGGAGAAAGAAAAAATATTAAAGAAAGGAAGTCAAACAGCAAAAGAAGATGAATAATTGGTAGGGAAATGATGAGAAATGATGGCTGGAAAAAAAGGAAGTATAAAGATAAAATAAAGAAATAAAAATGAGTGGGGAGTAGAAGTAAAATAGAAATAATATAAATACGAAAGTGAGGATAAGAAAGACTGAAAAAAAAGGAAAGATTAAAGAGAATAGAGCAGAGAGAAAAAAGAGGAAAAAATGTAGTTAATGGCGGCTTAGTATAATGAGATTATAAACTACAAATGGGGTATGTGGATGTTGAACAAACAAATATGTGCCTGAGCAAGCGTCTGCAGCAGTTAATAACTAACCACCCTTCCAGACGTGTGCACTCGGATAAAGGTTATATATATATATATATATATATATATATATATATATATATATATATATATATATATATATATATATTGTGTATATTTAGGCAGCAATTTTTCATTAATACATGTTTCATTAAATAATATAGAAAAGTTTTGTCTATTTATTTTAAGTAAGTTCCTTTCATATTGTCTGATTAGCTTACTAACATTATCATTGAAAAACGAAAGGAAATCACCATATTGATACATGTTTAAATCCAGTCTAAGCGGTCGGCTTACATAAGCCAGTATCAAAGATGACAATTTCCATAGATCAAACAACACACAGACGAAACCACAATGATATATATAGAACGAAACGGCCGTCCAGTGCTTCCTCATTCTGTTTTAGCTTGTAAATCAACAAACCAATACTCAAGGGGAAAAAAAGGGGAAAAAAAAAGAAAGAACTAAGAACATGTACTTCCGGCGAAAATAATAGTCTAGAATCTAAGTTCATAGTCCAAAGAAAAAAACCTCCGATACGAGTAAGTAAAATGACTAAACAAAGTACTCAATACGCTAACTAGGGCAAATAAAGTAAAGTAAACCTAAAGATCCAGATAAAACTACCTAGGTTTTCACCTACGCGGATCGTCAGGGCACTGCCCTGACGATCCGCGTAGGTGAAACTTAGGTAGGTAGGTTTGTTTGTTTGTTTACTTTACTTTATATATATACTATTTGCATTATTCGGACTATTGTCGTCATCTTTGTCGCCATATTTATTACAACGTTTTGGCCTCAAGGACACATGGCACAGTGGATAAAGGCGTTAGTTAGATCCAGTGCCAAGACACAAAGAGTGTGAGTTCAATATCCGGTTAAGGGAGTGGAGAACTTGGAGAGGGGAATTAACAGGAGAAAACTGATAATTGACATTCATTAAAAATCATGCCACCTGGAACTAGAACAGTCTACCCCAGTGGGCAAAATAAAGCGTTCAGTTCGACATTCCAACCCCCTGAAGAAGGCTGGAACGTATAACGACCGAAACGTTGTAATAAATATGGCGACAAAGATGAGGACAATAGTCCGAATAATATAGATAGCGTACATAATATCTAATCACACACACACACACACACACACACACACACACATATATATATATATATATATATATATATATATATATATATATACTACCTACTACCACTACCCGCCTCTCCCGTCGAATTCGACGTTGAGGGTCAAGCAGATCAGTTCCCAGGAAACCGACAACAGCACTTGAGAATTGATTATAGTGGTGAAGGTTTCGTGCAGGACCATCCACACTTTTTGAAGGGCCGAATACAGAGACCTGATGCACTACGTGCCACAAGGTCCCCATACGACCCTCCGAAGGTTTTGAATTCAGAGTTGTCCTTCTCCTAGACCAGTTGCAATCCAAGGCTATAGAACCCAGTCTGTCTTGCTATTTACCCATAGTTGGAGTTGGAGGCAGGCCATTTTGTTTCAACACACTCTGTGTTTTATCATTGATAAGACACAGAGTGTGTTGAAACAAAATGGCTATTTTTGTAGTGATTTTATAACATACTTATGTTATAATTTTTTTATAAAAATAATTATATCTGCTCTACTTTGTATTGAGCACTCTTTTAAGAATAGTAATTGTTGGTTGTTGGAATTCATTCCGTGTTTACCAATTATATACTTTTATATATATATATATATATATATATATATATATATATATATATATATATATCATTGGCATCTACGGGCAGTCTTTAATTTTAACGAGAATACCACGTGATTGCAGCAATGTGCACGTGCGTACATTGCCATTGATTATTGTGGGAATTATATGTATAAAGCGAATAGGTCAACCAAGTGTTTTGACAAATCAAATAAACGTTCAATTTTTACGACTTATCCTTAATACCAATGATTTTTCCTCTAATTTATTTTTGTTTTATGTTTCTTTTCTTTTCTTTTTGACGTATTTATTTTGTCAGTCTTTTAATCGTTATCTTTCGTTGTTTTTATCTGTGGTTCATTTCATTTTATTTTGAGTTGTTTTCTCTTCTTTCGCCTCTCTTATTTTATATACGTAGCAAAATATATATTTTTTTATTTCTCTTTAGACGAAATATCCCTGTACCCAATTGAAAATCATGGCTCTCCGCATTTTCTTTATTGTCTGCGAAATATGCCTTATTTACAAAGTTAGTGAAATAGTTTCTAAATACTTTTGGACGTTTTATTCAGTAAGATATTTTCCTCCACTTTGTTGTGCGAGAAAACGTGCTATTGGATTCATTAGCAATACAACATAAACACATAAAAAAGTTTAAAATAACCACATAAGTCTTCTTATAACAATTGAATATTATATATATATATATATATATATATATATATATATATATATATATATATATATATATATATCTGAACTGGTCATACAAAGGTGTGTATGTGTTTTTGTAAGAGATTTGATATCTGAAAAAAGTAATCTTTAGTACTTATCTTATGTTAATTGTCACGTGCCTGAATAAGTACGTCTTACTAGTTTGACTGCCAGGAACCAAAGAGAACGTTTGACTTTCGTGCCTTACGATCCCCCGGGCAGTTCACGTGACTATCTATATATCTATTTTTAGGGGTTAGTCAAAGGGAGATAACTTTTGTCTCCCTCAACAGCTTAAAACAATCCTACTCAAAGCTAGTGGCTAGTCTGTTATTATATTCAAACCCTAATTAATGACGGAGGCGGGGATGAGTATATGCTTTTTTTTCGATAACATTAGTGCGGAAGTGAACGCAACAGTTTAGACCGGAACTTGAACACGGCTCGCTTTTAGTCTTTCTTTTACTTTTTTTATTATTTTGTTTCTCTCTTTCTTTCTTTTATTAATATTTGTTTCTTTCTTTTAATTGTAGGACTTAGTCCATTTTGTAGTGTGTGACGTCATTTGTTTGTGTTTAGATACGCTTCGAGCAGATATGAACGTTCGAGGGAAATCATGAAAATTTGTAGTTTAAAAACAGTAAAATCGACTGTTCTAACCAGGCACTCCACTGCAGCTAAAATGGTAAGACTATATGACGGTTCCGTGTGTGATACAGGTTCGATTCCCGTAAAAAATTTCTCGAACATTAGGACCATTAATACTGTTTATTATAAATAGAGCATTTGCTTAAATATTTGTGCCTATATAAATAACCTATAATAATAAAATATATGAAAATTTTTTTCTTTCTTTTATAAATATCACTTTCTTTCCTTTATAAATATTTCCTTCTTTCTTTTATAAACATTTCTTTCTTTCATAAATATTTTTGTCACTTTTAAAAATATTTCTTTTTTATAAATATTTCTTTCTCTCTATCAAAAATATTTTTCTATCTTTTATAAATATTTATTTCTTTCTTTCAAAAATATTTTTCTTCCTTTTATAAATATTTCTTTCTTTCAAAATATTTTTCTTCCTTTTAGAAGTATTTCTTTTTTTATAAATATTACTTTATTTTATAGATATTTCTTTCTTTCATAAATATTTCTTTCTTTCTTTTATAAATATTTCTTTTCTTCTTTTATAAATAATTATTCATTTTATTATTTTTTTTATTTTTTAACTAATTTTAACTAGTTTTCTGTTTTCTTTCCTTTTTTTTCTGCTTGAAGTATTTCTTTCTTTCTTTTAGAAATATATTTTTCTTTCTCTCATTTATAAAAATTTATTTTATTTTTAAATATTTTCTCTTTTTTCAAATATTTCATTCTTCCTTTCCTTTTAAATTTTTCTTTTTTTTTTTCCTTTTAATTATTTCTTTGTTTCTGCATTTTCTTTATTCATCGCCATCATTGAAATTTCTTTTATTTTCTAATTTATTCTATTTCGCTTTCTCTCTCGCATATTTCTTCCGTCATTCACTTATCTCTTTTATTCTTTCTTTATTTTCTCTCTCACTCGCTCACTCCCTCTCTCACTTAGTACTTATGTCTATTTTAGTTTAGCTCTTTCTTTCTTTCTTTCTCTTTCTCTCTCTCTCTCTCTGTATTCAGTATCTACTTCGAACTGTTTTTTTTTTCTTTTTTCGTTCAAGCTTATCGTATCTTTTCTTTATCTCTTTATCTTTTTCTCTCTTTTTCTCTCCTTCATTCTTTCTCCCTTTCTTTTTTTTTACTCACTACCATTGTTCATTCTCTATTATTCTTTCAGACGAGGAAGTTCTTTTCTCTCTTTCTTTTTTTGTTTGTTTCTTTCCTTCATCCTTTCGTTGTTTTTTTTTTTATTTTCGCGGCAACCTTTCCTTTATTTTTTACTTGCAAATCCATTTCTTGCCGTTGTAATTTCTTTTCTTCTTTTTTTTTCATACTTTTTTTTTTCATTATCTTCATCAAATTCTAATCAAACTCATTTTAAAACATTCAGAATCCAAATTCAATTCTGTAAACATAATCGATCTTTTAAACAATCGATCATCTGCTCAGAGGCTTATTAAAGATCAATACCGGCTGATCAAAATTAAGATAATTCCATCTTTGCAAAGATTTTCAATGAATAACATTGCACACCCCTCCCCCATGCATCAACCAATGTAATCAGCGTGGAATCATTAAAAAGACAATGCCATGTTTTCTACTCTCTTTAGTCGCTTTACCGAATTACACATTGCTGTATAAATCGACTTTTAAAAATATATTTTCAGGCAAAAATCTTCGTGTACATGAATGAAACTTTCTTTGGATTGAAATCTGCGATTGGTTGAAAAGACTGCAAGCAAGTTGGCAATAGAAAACATTCGCCAAGTACAATTTAAAGAAATGAGTTTTGGTAATACAATCGGTATTTACGAAGCTTAATCTAGTACTTGACAATATACGGAGGGCTCCAACCCATCCCTTCCCCGCGGAGATAGAACGCAACATATTAACGAATAGAAAGATACTAAACTTTGATCTCACCCAAAAGACCAAGAAGTGATAGTATTTCCTTGCTGCCCTCGAGCTGACAGGTTATAACATAAGGTCAATTTAATGTGAGGCGCCTGAGAGCGTGCACCCAGGCCACATCCCAATAGCCCAGCCCCGGGCTGATACTACACTTTGACAGGTTGGCAATAGAAATGGTACAATTTAAAGAAATGAGGTTTGATAATACAATAGGTATATATGAAGTTTAATTTAGTACCTGACAACATAGTGAGCGCTTTATCCCATCCCTTCTGTTTCCTGGGGAGATCGAACGCACCACATTAGCGAATAGTTGAACGAATTATTTAACGACCACTCTCACTCAGATGTCGCTATAGATTACGATTATATTATGTCGAAAATGATTTGAATAAATATTTCAAAAGACTACTAGAAATTTTTTGTGCGATTGCTAGGGTTTTGAATGCGGTTTTTCAAGCAGTTAAGTTTATTTCACTCGGAATATTGGCTTGGCAATCTTTTTACTCATTTTACACAAAGCAAGGCGATAATGTCACTAAGATGCAAGAGGTCTACTGAGAGTGAAAGAGAATGAGAATTATTTAGGTGAAGGTAAAGAGAACACAATATTATCCTGTTATACTTGTCTCTCACTTCATTGGTTCGTACGACCGTTACGTCCTGACAATAACTTATATTCCATTTTGATCGCGTGGGTAGAGTGGAAAAGTCCCCAGTTGGTGTCACTGAGAAAATGAAAGAAATAAGATCAGAAAGATGTGTGTAGAGAGAATAAGATTGTGCGGAGAAGAACAGATACCACACTTTGATCTCAGCCAAAAGTCCGAGAAATGATAGTATTTCCTTGCTGCTCCCGAGTCGATAGGATACAACACAAGGTGATTTTAATGCGAGTAGCCCAAGCGCGCGCACTCATGCCAGGTTCCAAAACAGTTCAACCCCGTGCAGATACTGAACTCTGACCCCAGCCAAAAGGCCTAGAAGAGGTATTTTTCAGTGCGCCGGCGTCGCTACCAGTTGCGACAGAAGGTCAGTTTAAAAGTGGGTTTAACGGCAAATTAAAAAAGAAAAAATCGAAAAATTGCACAAACCCATTCGCCACTTCTCCTTTTGGGGATGCCTCAGGCCGCAGTCAATAAACACATCTCCCGAGGGAGAGGTACTCCCTGGGGAGAGAATCCTTGAGGGTTAGGCTTAAAATTATTTGAACCTCCCCGAGCCAAAGGCCGAGAAGTGATGGCGACCGCGATAAAAAAAAAACATTTTTCAGCCGTTTAGTATCGAACGTCATAAACCGAATAAACTAATCAGAAATAAACCTAGTTACTATAAATAAAATGACATTGTTGAAAGACCAAGAATGATGTTGAATATAGAATAAACCCTTTAATCTACATTCGACACCATCACTTAATAAGACACCAGAATATTGAAAAAAATGGCTATTTTGTAGTAATTTTATAACATATTTATGTTATAATTTTCGAATAAATAATCATATATATATATATATATATATATATATATATATATATATATATATATATATATATATATATTATTATTATTACCAACCACTATGTTATGAATAGAGTGTTCCTGATCAATTTGAATTCGTAAATAATTATATTAGGCAATCTACATGGAGTTTAACTAGAAGACTCACATTACATATGTCACTATATTGCAATTAGGTTTCATTTAAATGCACATAGACACCTACCGAACTCTATCCGTGCCATATTCGTTGAAAATACAACTATAATAGCCTCATCCACATAGATAAGATAATATATATATATATATATATATATATATATATATATATATATATATATATATATATATATATATATAAGCTCCTTCTCATTGGTTGAGCACATTGAAAGGGAATATGCTGGCTGTTGCTATTAGCACTATAATCTCTTTGCTAAGAATTGCTCACACTGGTAGCCGGTAATGCTTATATCTCGTATATAAGGTGTTAAAAATTCCCTTTCACGGCTGCGGGAGGGCATAAGTGGAGAGTCTCCGACTGAGGTACAATCGGTCGGCTTTCCATCTAGGCTTGAAGCAATGGCAAGTCTAGTCACACTGATGAGCTTTAATCCAGCGAAACAGTCTGTGGACGACAATATATATATATATATATATATATATATATATATATATATATATATATATATATATATATATATATATCGCCAAAGTCTTAGGGTACAATTTATGACTGACGCCAATTCAGCCAGGTTTTCGATCCTAGCTAGAGGCAACCGGACGTCTGGCACACATTGTGATACAGGGAAACAGTCTCTCTGTGGATGACAATATATATATATATATATATATATATATATATATATATATATATATAGAGAGAGAGAGAGAGAGAGAGAGAGAGTAGTCCTTTGCTCGAAACCTTTAACGAGTAGACCGAAGTAAAAAAGATTACAAAAAGTTTCGTGTCCGAAACTATTGATTTGGGATGAGGAATATGCATCAATCAAATCAGTGACAATTATATATATATATATATATATATATATATATATATATATATATATATATATAGTTAACATTAACCAGAAAAAACAGAAACGTCTATCTTTTAAATTTGGATTTTTTTAATGTAACTATAACAACAAAACCATTTCAATTTCATTTTTGCCTTGAAAAAGTCGGAAGACGAAACGCGTCGGCAAAATCTAAGATTTTTTTTCCATTTGTCATTTTATACCAATCTGTCTTGCCCACAGAATCAATCTGGGAATTTAACTATATTGTCGTCATGGAAAAAAATCCCTTATTTTAAAGGTAATTTACATTATCCAAAAAAAAGGCTTAGACAGAAGCGTCTATCTATTTTTAAATTTGGATTTTTTAATGTAGCTATAACAACAAAAACATTTCGATTTCATTTTTGACTTGAAAAAGTCGGAAGACAAAAGGCGTCGGCAAAATCTAAGATTTTTTTTCCAGTTGTCATTTTATACCATATATATAAATATATAATAAATGATTTATATGGAATATTCAACTAAAAATATAAGATGGAATTCGTGAAAACCAGTTAGATGCTTAAAGTTTTTATTTCCTTGTTAACTTATCATCGGTACCTGCATTTTCAAA